CTCTCTCTCTCTCTCTCTCTCTCTCTCTCTCTCCCTCCCTCCCTCTCCCTCTCCCTCTCTCCCCACCCCACCCCCTGCCCCATCCTCCTCCCTGTCATTGTCTTAGTGTGGGCTCAGATGTCTCATTTGGGTAACTGCAATTATTTGCTAACTAGATTTTGGCTTTAGGTTCATGCTTCTTCTCTCAATTCTTCACATTGTAAAGATGTGACCTTTCGGAAATGCAAATCTATTCTGATTCTTCCTGGGCCCTCATCAGCTTGCCCCTGATTTCTGCTCAGGGTTTTCAATGAAAGCACAGGGACTTCAGGGAGGCCTGGTCCTCTAGTGAAAACAACTGCCATTGTCAACTAGAATACTTGGTAAGAATTGGCCCCTTGAGTGTGTTTGGGGTTGGAGGAAGAATTATCCACCTACAGGACGGGTCAATTTATGGGCCAATTATGGAAGTTCATGTCCTGGGCTCTGCTTATCTCTCCAGGCTCAGCTCTCCTGTCCATACTGCCCTCCTTTCCTGCCCCACACAGACTCTCCAACTGACTGGATTCCATTTGTAGTGCTCAAAGACTGTTGAATGGTCTGATGCCTTTTGCTATTTGGGCTCTCTGTCTAGGATTTTCCTTTCCACCTGTTGACCTGAAAAATGCCCATTCATTTTTTGAGATTTGTACAAACTATAAATGTAATTAAATGTAACTGTGTCCATAAACCTTTTCAAATTTCCACTGTGCCAACAACAGTTCCCTCTATTAGCATCTTTTATTATTTATGAGGTGGCTTTCCCCAAAGGAAGTGCATTTAACTGTTCCTTGTGAGCACTTACTACGCTGAATCCGCAGTCCCCAGTGTTGTGCCTGACATACAGAAGTAGTTAGAGGTTTATTCAGTGACTGAGAGGTTATGCACAGACTACTAACACTGTAGTCTTTGGAGAAATTTAAACCATCTGCATGAGAGGGGAGCTGGAATAAAAACTGGAGATATACAGTTAATATTCACCCCAAGCAAGTGGTTCCCACGCCTGAGATTAGCAGCTAGGATTACTAAAATAACTTCATACAATAACCATAATTTCTTACATTAGTTTTAAGATTTTTTATTTATGTGTCTGTCTGTCTCTGTATATGCCACGTGTGCATTTGCTTGAAGAGGCCAGAAGAGAGTGTTGGATAGTCTTGAGCTGTAGGTGGTTGTGAGCCACCTGACATGGATGCTGGGAATCGAATGTGAGTCCTCCAGAAGAGCAGCAAGTTCTTAACCATTGAGCCATCTCTCTAAGCCCTATTTGTTATATTCTTATAAAGAGTCTTAAATTTTCTTGGTTTTAAAAAAATGCTGAAATGATATAAGGCTTGCTTCACAGAAGGTATACATTCATTAAATGTAACTTTGGTTTTTAAACATTTTTAAAATTTTTTTTTTAATTCAATTTTTTTTGGCCTTTTTTTGAGACAGGGTCTCCCTGTAGCCCCAGCTGTCCTGGTCACTATGTAGACCAGGCTGGCCTTGAACTCAGAGATCTGCTTGTCTCTGCCTCCCGAGTGCTGGGATTAAAGGCGTGTGCCACCATGCTCGGCAAAATTCAATTTTTTATTGTGTGTGGGGGGGGGGTGCCAGGGGACAGTGTGTGGAGCTCAAAGGACAACTTGGAGTTGGTTTATCTCCACCAAGTAGGTCCTGGGGATCAAACTCAGGTCATCAGCGTTGGCGATAGGCACCTTGATCTTCTGAACCATTTTGTTGGTCCATATATTACTTTGAAATAAGTTGTTCTGTAATGACACTTTAAGGAAGACTTCATGATTTCTGTAAGCCTTGTTTGTAAAATCAAGACTTCTGGAGTCTTCCCTGAGCCATAACTTCATCCAGACAGAGGAAAAATCATGACTCAAATTTATCTGTTCTTGGAAATTTCAGATTATCCAAACATATATGTGATAGAGAATCATCAAAGTTTTTAATGCAAAAATTGTGCAATAGAAAGTTGAGTTAAAACTCAGAGAATACGTATTTCACTAACAAAAATTTTAGGTCTTCATAATAGAGTCAGTGCCTTAATAACAAGGATTTCACTTTGGTGACATCCAAGATTTTCACTGTACTCTTAACACATCAGAGAAAGCTACAATTATATTTACGTTAAGCACTGCAGTTTGTCAGGTGGCTTATTAGATTATTCTAAATGCATGTCTGGGTAAGTTTTGGTTTATTAAACAATTATAAGTTGTCAGTCACTCTAAACGGATTTACTTGGGGAGCTGTATAATGAATACTGCACGAATTGATTGGAGACTGAGAGTTAGTCACCCTTGAGCTAGCCCACTTCCACTTTCAGAAAAATCCCATGATGAAAAAGGAGACAGATACCTTAGAGGCAGAGAGTGGGTGGCAGAGAAGAATGAGTTTGGGGAAGTTTTAAAATTATATCTCTGTGAAGAAAACAAAGGCAAAAGAAAAAGAAAAAAAGAAGAAATGACTTGAATGAAGTAAGATCAGTGATGATTGCTTCTTTTCTTAAAAAAAAAAAAACAAAAAACCTCTGTGTGTGTGTGTGTGTGGTGTGTGTGTGTGTGTGTGTGTGTGTGTGTGTGTGTGTGTGTACATTCAGGTCCACCTGTGATGCACAGGTGGAGGTCAGAGGAAAATCTCAGCTGCTGATCCTTGCCTTCCATTGTTGGTGTCTGCATACCCAGGCTAGCTGACCTTCAAGCTTCCGGGAACTCACTTGTCTCCACTTCCCATCTCACAGTAGGAGCACTGGGATTGTAGGCTTGGGCTACCACATCCTGCTTTACTTGGGTTCTGGGGCTCTAAACTCAGGCCCTCACACTTGTGCTGCCATCTCCCCATGCTCAGTGACAATTTCCTCACTGATGCAGCTCAAGTAAGTGCCCAAGCCTCCCCTAGCCCCACCCAGGCTTGACTGCTGTCTCTGACCTTCATACATGCATAGAAAAGTGACAGGATGACTCCTTGGAAATGGCTTTGATGCTCTTGGGAGAATGTTTTGCAATATAATGCCCCAGCACCACGAGGTGACCAGTCACATGCAGCCGACTAAGGGTGAGGCAGAGTGCATTTCCCCTTTGTTGATAACCCACTACTGGTGGTGTGGGAGGGGATGGCTTCAGGAATCTAGGGATAAACTCTTTTTGAATGGGTATATGTGCACACACACATGCACACATTATACTAGCACAGTGAACCCATGATTTTTATTTTAGATGTGATTACTAGGAAGGTGCTGATAAAAAAAAATTGACAATTTAAAATCTATTTAGATGGGGGCTGGAGAGATGGCTCAGTGGTTAAGAGCACTGACTGCTCTTGCAGAGGACCTGGGTTCAATTCCCAGTACCCACATGGCGGCTACAAACCATCCTTAACTCCAGCTCCAGGGGAATCCTTAGTCCTCTCCTGTCCTCCACGGCACTGCACGACACAGGTGCACTCACATACATGTAGGCAATACACTCATACACATAAAATAAAAGAAATAAAATATTAAAAAATTAAAATCTATTTAGAGAAAAATATTCCAAATATGCAGAAAAAGCAGATGTGGATTGGTTTGCAAATTACTGAAGCTAAAGAGACAGCTGTGTTAACTAAACTGGTGGCCACTGTCCTTAGATTGATAATAATATGTTTTTGGCCTACAAGTCAGGAATGAAGTAAACAAGTGCAGATTTACTCTGTAAAGTGAGGAGCGTGAGGTTGGTTTGGTTGTGGGGTGCAGGTGTCATGGAATTAGAGTTTAGAAAGCTCACCAAGACTTCAGGGGTTGTGCTTGAGTGTGAGGCCAAGGAGGAGAGATGAGCAGCAAATGCAGCTGGCATACAACATAGCTTAAGAATTTAAGAATACTTACTTTCCTTTTTTAATGGTGTTTCTGCCAAGTAGAGGATCAAGAACTGGATCTACTGTTTCCTTGAGGTTTTCAATTAGGATAACATCACCAAAGGCCAGAGCTGCTTCAATGGCATTTAAAAACCTTAAAATGCAGTCAGAATTAAGATAATGAAATGTAAATAAACCCAGGAAGATGTTCAAAATTGTTTAAATAATTTATTTTACATAGCTATTTTAAGTGGGAACAAACAAACTTAGGGGAGACTTTGATAACATAATATTCTTAGTCCCCTCTCCTACCATAAGTGCATTTTTATTTAGATTACACAGAAATTAGGGATCACATTTTGAGAGAAAATTTGCAGTCAACTACAAATTAGCTGGTTTTGATAATAATCAGTATTTGAAGTAACTAAGTTATCTAAATATCATAAATTTAAATTTAGTTAATTCATCCATTAAAAACAATGATATCATATACTTGTGGGTGTATCAAATTTTTAGTTTTTAAGCCTCTTTTAAAAATATTTTATGAACTGAGAATTTCATACAATGTTTTTGATCCTATTCAATCCTCTTCCCCAACTCTTCTCGAATCCACCTCTATCTCCCTACCTCTAACTTCTTTGTATTTGTGTGTATGAGCATGCTCACATGTATGCATATATGTGTGTATGTATAGAGGCCAGATGTCAAATTTTGTGTCACTCCTCAGGAGCCGTGCACTCTGTTATCTATGACAGGGTCTATCATTGGCCCAGAACTTGGTGGCTAGCAAATTACACATGCTTCTTCTTCCCCAGTACTGGGGTTACAAGCCACATCTAGTTTTTACCTGGGTTCTGGAAACAAGTCCTTGCACAGCAAGGACTTTGCTGATTGAGCAGTCTCTGAAGCCCGTAGTCTTTAAATCTTTAAATCATATAAAATGGTGAACTGTCATTTTATCTCATCCCCACTCTCCAAAAAGAATCTCTCCTTATCAAAAGTAATTTCCCCCCAAGTATTCAAGGATCTATATTTTACAAGTACAGAAATGTCTTACTTCAGTTTATGTGAAAGGAAGATGTGAGGGTTAAAGGGTATAACTGTAGCTCCAAAATAATTCATTCAGCACTGAATGAAAGTCAACTGTGAGCAAGGTAGCTTCCTACTTATCAGATAATGCTGGTACAAGGATCCAGTGACACAACCTCTAAGTGGACTACTCAGGTTTCAAAAACAATATATGAAACCAGTTTGGGAAATCAGGCACACAGTGCTGGAACCTAGTCATATTAAAATCCTACTATAAGCATAGAATGTATTTAAGGGGGCTGGAGAGATGAATCAGTGGTTAAGAGCACTGGCTGCTCTTGCAGAGGACTTTTCTGTTCCCAGCACTCACATGGCAGCTAACAACCATCCGTAACTCCAGTTCCAGGGGATCCAACATCCTCTTCTGATTTCCATGGCTTTGCAGCAATATGCTGATGATGCTCACAATCATAGTCCTAGAGACATTCTTTTTTAATGTTTCATTACTTCATTTTATGTGTATGACTGCATTGCCTGCATGTGTGTAAGTGCACTCATGTTGTACAGTACCCGTGAATGTCAAAGGAGGGCATCGGATCCCCTGGATCTTGAATTATGGAGGGCTGTTATTTGCCATGTGGGTGCTGGGAAATAAACCCAGGTCCTCTACAAGAGCAGCCAGTGCTTTTAACCACCGAGACATCTCTCCAGCCCTCTATTAGTGCAATTCTTGTCTTACCATATACCGAACACTCTAGAGAAGGAATATATAGTACTTTTCCCTTCTTAGTCTTAGGAAATTTATGAATTTTTTCCTCTCAGGTAGAATTTTTTTCAAGTAATAAGATACTGCATACATAAAGGCTTTTCAACAGAGATTCTGTGTAAGAAACATGAGCCAGAAACTAGATAAGTAATAGGAAGTTGTAACATTTTAAAGAGGCAGAAAGGTCTAGCAAATGCCAAGACATTATCAAAATCAGGCCCACTTCCTAACAGGTTAACACAAAGCCAACTGCACCAGAACTCACATACCCTTTCTGTCCCAAATGTGTGACTTTCAGGTGAGGCCCGTACTTATTCTTGATCCACTTAACTCCCTGTTGCTGAGGATCTATCATCAGAGGCCAGCGCTCGCAGTGTGTTAGAATGGTGGCATTTTCAGTTGACATCCTATCACTGGGTAGTCCTTCATTATTCCAGGAGGCAATTGTTGCCTCATCCGTCAACATGGAAATCAGGTCCAGGCCTTCTGTTATCGGGATGGAAACCTTTGAAATCAAAGTTGAATGTGATCAACTGACAGCATGTCAGAGGAGGAAGACTCATCATGGTAGACAAGAAAATGAGACCAAAATCAAGAGAAAATGGTGTCAAGGGAATACGCCCAAATTCTTTGCAGACTCCTTGAAGCCAAGTATAGTCAACATGAAATATGACGTGACCTGATCCCACCAAGCATTTACCTTTCAGAATCCTGTCATTTGTGCATTCAGCATCTAGTTTATTAGCTGCAACCAGTTGGCTTCCACTAAAGGGACTTTGGCATACACAAACCTCTACAGCTATTCCAACAAGGTGAGAGGGAATTCAGACCCCAGGAAGAACACAGAACACCAGATGTTTATTTGCCTGTGGAGCCATCACCCTGCATAAGCAATGCCTGAATGCAGTATCTGGTCAGGCATCCACGTGTTTCCACACACCAACACTGCAGAGAAGCCCCGCCCTTTCCTTGACTGGATCAATGAAGTGTGTGCAGCCTGTTGGAAGCAAGAAGATAGTTTTTCATGGATGAGGCCCCATACTTCCCATTCCATCCTCTGAATCTATTCCTTACTCTTGCATTTTTTCTGACAACACTTCCCACATTTCCTTTAGTGTTCCAGCCCTGTTTGGACCAAATTTCTGTACTCCATCTGTTTGCCTGTCTTAATGCAAACCTGGCTTTCCCCTAGCACAAGTGGTTCTCAACCACAGGATGCCTATTGGAGTCCCATGGGAACTTAAAAAAAATCTCCCAGCAGGACCACCCCCAGCCCCAAAGATTCAGCTTTAATTAGCATTATACATTTAAATGATTTTCTTTCATATAACTTTATTTGACAAGAGGCTGGGCAAGAGGAGCTTATTTCACTTAAGGGCTTTCCTAAGTGGAGATACTCTTTTTCTGAGTACCCCCATCACCTACAAAGGAGTGCGGGGAAGAGAGGCCATTCTTCTTGTCAGGCACCCCAACCACTGCTCCTTGTCCGTAGCTGAAACCTCAGCTCTGAGGTTGACACGGTCCAGCTGTGCAGTCCTCCACGTATGTCCTCACCTTACTGATGACTCTTCTCGGTCCTTCTCACCTGTCCAGATTTTGCTATCAATCCTTGAACACCTTCATGTGTATATAGAAGAACCTACTGTCTGACCTTGACAGGCTTCATCTCAAAGCTCTACACTTCCATTCCCTAGGGAAGGCATGTGGGGACAGGAAGAGATGTGAGTCCCTGGGAAGCTCAGACAAATCCTCATCCCTAACTTGCTCTGCACACACCCTCCTGTGATGTTACTGTATATTCACTGCAGTGTTACAGTTCTTGCACACTTAGATGATAAATGTTGTTCCAGACTCATAACAATATCAAATTGTTTCACCACTGAAATCTAAAATTCCAAAACCAATTTTCTGATCTGGATTGTACTTCTCTCTCCTCTTCAATATACCTTAACACTGTGAGTACATCCAGTCCTTCTATCTACTCCTAGTGTAGATTTTTTTCATTATGGTAAATTATAAATAACATAAACTTTGTTTCTTTAAGTATGTGCAGTTCGGTGGCACTAAGCACACTCACAGTGGGAGTCACCAACCTCCACCTGCAGAACCTTCTCATACTCCCAAACAGAATCTCTGCACCTATTAAACAAAAACCCCTTCTCCTTCTACCCCAGGCCTAGCAACTGCTGTCCCCCTTTCTGTCATCATGAACCTGACTACTCTAAGAACCTTCACAAGTGGATTCATACAGTGTTTGCTCTTGTGACTGGCTTACTTCAGTTAGAATCATGTCTGCTAGGCTTATCCACATTGCAACATCAATCAGAGGTCCTTCATGTTTTAGGCTGAATAATATTCTATTCTATGTATATGCCACACAAGAAACCCATTCCTCTGTCATGGACAGCTGATTGCTTCTGCCTCTTGGCTATTGTCAACGCTGCTTCTAGGAACTTAAGAATGTAAACACCTGCTGAAGGCTCTGCTTTTATTTCTTTTGGGTGTGTACATGCATAAGCAGGATTATTAAGTCATATGATAATTCTATATTGATTTTTTGGGTATCCTACTATATTTCACTCACTAACTTTTAGCTAAACCCAGGTTTCCAGCCAGTCTAAACTACACCTCTCATTTCTTAACTTCTTTAGTCAGCCCCATGACCTTCTCCACTTCTTTTCCTTCTAGCATATCTGCTACAAACCTGGTTAAGCCCAGACTTTGAGTAGTGCTGAATCAAGCTTCCAATATTGTGACTACAGTGATAATAAATCAAAGATATAGACTTACATTCCCTCAGGCACTTTCTATGCTTAGGAAAATGTTCAAACAACTTTTCCCAATGGAAAGCAGGACATATGACATGTGCTCTTACAAGTCTATAACACAAGACCTGTACAAACTGAACCCAGACAAAAACCCAGTATAGAACTGTGGTAATGGGCAAGAAGCACCAACTTTAGCTGAGGAATTATTGGCAGCTAATCATTTCTGGGTGAGGGAAAGTTGGTCTTCTTTAAAGGAGTGGTGCTAGTTGAGCTGACCAGGTTCCAGTGGATGAACTCATACCAAGAGACATCTGGTGACACAAACGTGACTCAATAGACCTTAACATATATGACAGAATGCATGAAATCGGATGTGGGGGGATATGGAGAAATGCAGATGGGGAGGGGGTCTAAATACAATTAAGATGTATGAAATACACAAAAATTCAATAAAAAATAAATAAAATACTACACATTATATGAGTTCACTAATGAAATTTTCGCAGGAGGCAAATCTATGAACATGTGTAATAAATTAATGGTTGCCCAGATCCAGGGAGAACAGAGCAACTGGTAATAGCTAAAGCTCATGAGTTACTTTGGGGATGGTAAAAATGTTTTAGAACTGATCGTAGAAACACCTGTACAGTCCTGTGACTATATGAACATACTTTAAACGAGTGAATTAATAGCATGCAAATGGCATCTCAAAAGAAGCCTGGAGCATTGCAAAATTCTGGCCTCTATTTCAGGATAGTGCTGTGACCAAAGCATATGGAATCATCTCTTCTGAGGTCTTACATTACAGTTGGCAAAGGGATAATATTAGCCATAATCAATGCACTGACGAATCAGTATTAGGAGAGGATAATGCTGTGGTGAAAAATAAGGCTATGCATGCAATTCACGGGGCTGGAGAGATGGCTCAGCGGTTAAGAACACTGGCTGTTCTTGCAGAAGACCCAGGTTTGAATCCCAGCACCCACATGGCAGCTAGCAACTGTCTGTAACTCCAGTCCCAGAGGATCCGACAGCCTCTTCTAACCTCTGCGGGCATTGCAGGACACAGGTGCACTTACCTACACGCAGGCAATACACGCATACACATAAAATAAAAATTTTAAAAATACACTGAAATGTATGCATTTCAGTGGCAGAATGCTTCTCTACTATGTACAAGACCCTGGGTTTGCTCCCTAGCACTGCAGAAACAAACAAACAAAAACAGGGAGCAAGTTAAAGGAAATGAGGTTTGCTGAGAGACAGAGTTGCAATCATGTCTACTGTCTTGCCTGTGTTAACTAAATAAAGACTTGATAGATGGGACACAAGGATACCCTGGGAGAAAATAGTCCAAGGCAGACGAGGATGTCAGAGCAAAGGACCTGAGGTTGGAACACACTTGGTATGTTTATGAGGTGGCTGGTGTAGCTGGAGCAGAGGAGGAAGAAGTCAAAAGGAGGTTAAGAAAAACAATGAGTTGTCTGATGCGGGTGCTGGGAACCGAACCCCGGTCTGTGGCAGCAAACGTTCTTAACCACTGAGCCATCTCTCCAGCCCCTAATTTAAAATTTTTTAAATTTATTTTAAAAAATATTTTATTTATTATTTTCATTTTATGTGTATGTGTGCATTGCCTGAATGTATCTAAGCACACCTGTGTCGTGCAATGCCTGTGGACACTAGAAGAGGGCATCGATCCCCTGGAACTGGAGCCATGGATGGTTGTTAGCCACAAATGACATGCTTGGTTTACAGATTTATGAGCCCCACAAATCATATTTACTTGCTAAATGGTTTACGTCTAAACCAGTAGAGTGCACAGGATGCCCAGGACAAACCAACAAGCCAAAGACATGTAGGAGATAGTTACCTACGGACACACAGAGTTCCAGAAAATATCCTATATTCTGAGGAAAAACATAGGAACTTCTAGGAGAAATTAGTTTAGCATAATCATTGATAAGCAATTTCAGCTTCTTTTGCCCCTGGTACACGTTTAGAATGTGAAACCATCTTCCCACTTCACTATAACTGAATCTGGGAGGAGGAGAGGTAAACAGAGGAGAAACCAAAAATTGGATTGCACAAGACAAACATTTGTTTTGTTTATGTAGCGCTTTCTGCTGCGTCCCTTAGAGACAGAAAATCTTTTCCAGCAGGATTTTATTATACAATTTGGAGTAATTTTCCTCCTTTAGTTTAGCTGTGCCTGGAGATGGTACGGAGAGAAAGCTGGTCAGTTTGGGGTCTGTCTCCATTTGCATGGAGATTTACAGAACACTAAAGCACAGAGAGCTGTGATGACTTCAAACTCACACAAGGTTCCTTGGGGAAAATCTTAGGGCCACAGTTAAACAGGCCCATTGTGGAAAGAAACACATGCTTGACACATGTCATCAGAAAACTACCATTTTATTTTGGTCACATATTTAAAATGTTTTGAAATTTGGACAAGTCAATCAATTTAACATTTTTACGATCTCGTCAAAAGAAAGTTTACTTTCATGGAGACTCAAGTTTAGAATTTTATGTAAATGGGAAAATATAACTCAACTGATGTGCAACTTTCCAGAAGCACATATGTGAAATGACACCAGACCAGCAATTAAAGACCAATTTAAAAACTAATGTAGGAAAAAGGCAGTGTTGGAATGAAGCGGGGCCCCCTGGTAGCCTCAGGGCCTGGAGTGTGCCAACTCCCTAGAGATTTGAGTGTGTGTGCTAGAGGAACCTTACAACACAAGATGAACATTTTCTT